CCCACTGATTTCAAGACACACAGATCTATAGTGTATGTTGAAATTGGCTTAGAGCAGTGCTATCAAAACTGCTTTGTTTGCTTGCTTGTTTGTAGAACATCTTTCAGGAACAATGAGAGAAAACAGCCACGTTCATTTAAAACGTTTAATGGTGAACAGAAGGAAAAGTGCAAAATCTCAACCACTTAAAACTCACCACAGAAATGCACACTGCATCATTATTAGCCATGTCCCTTTCACGCTACACAATGATAGCACCCAAAGTGGAAAATTAATAGCGTTTCATGCCACTTTTAACTGACACGTCTCAATGCTATGGAATCCTGGAAGATGTAGTTCGCATGGAATCCCGGGATTCTAGTTTGCATAGAATCCTGGGATTTCTAGTTTTCATGGAACGATGGTTCCATCACATTGAACCATGGAGATATAGTGGCGTCAAAGTGCATTAATTCTGCAATGTAGGTGCCCGCTAAAAGACATAGGTGATGGGAGTTGTAGTCCAAAACAAGATGCATTCCAGAGACAAATCCCAAGATTCCACAGCATTGCATCCCTCCTCAAAGTTATGGAATCCATGGATCAATGCATCTGCACTCATTGCTATGGGATCCACATCTCAATGAATTTGCACTCAATACTTCACGACTCCCACTACTTTAAAGTGTAGGTGCACTTTATGATGCCATATATTTTACGTTATCCTGGCATTTGCACTTTAGAGGAAGGTTTCTAGAATTACCCGCCAGGGTGTTCCAGCATCTCTTGTTTACAAACCTCTGGTTTGCATAGCAGTTAAAGTGGAATCACCGTGATATACCAATGCAGCGTGAAAGAGCTCCGGGACAAAAAAAAAGGCCCTACAAAGTCCCACTTGACATTAATCCGCTCACTTCCAACATATCTACAACCTTTGTAAACACCTACTTGAACGATCACTATCCTACAGCAGGGATGAGGAATCTTTGGCTTCCCAGATGTTTTGGATTTCTACTCTCGGGGTGTGTCTACACTGCAGAATTAACAGTTTGATACCACTTGAACCACTACAGCTCAAGGCTATGGAATCCTGGGATTTCTAGTTTGCATGGAATCCTGGGGTTTCTAGCTTATGTAGAACCCTGGGGTTTCTATTTTGCATGGAATCCTGGGAATTCTAGTTTGCATGGAATCCTGGAATTTCTAGTTTGTGTGGAATCCTGGGGTTCCTATTTTGCCTGGAAACCTGGGAATTCTAGTTTGCATGGAATCCTGGGGTTTCTGTTTTGCGTGGAATCCTGGGAATTCTAGTTTGCGTGGAATCCTTGGGTTTCTAGTTTGTGTGGAATCCTGGGTTTTCTATTTTGCGTGGAAACTTGGGAAGTCTAGTTTGCACGGAATCCTGGGGTTTCTATTTTGCGTGGAATCCTGAGAATTCTAGTTTGCATGGAATCCTGGGATTTCTAGTTTATGTGGAACCCTGGGGTTTCTATTTTGCCTGGAAACCTGGGAATTCTAGTTTGCATGAAATCCTGGGATTTCTAGTTTGCATGAAATCCTGGGATTTCTAGTTTGCATGAAATCCTGGGATTTCTATTTTGTGTGGAACCCTGGGGTTTCTATTTTGCATGGAATCCTGGGATTTCTAGTTTGTGTGGAACCCTGGGAATTCTAATTTGCGTGGAATCTCGGGATTTCTAGTTTGTGTGGAATCCTGGGATTTCTAGTTTGCGTGGAACCCTGGGAATTCTAGTTTGCATGGAATCCTGGGATTGCTAGTTTGTGTGGAATGATGGTTTCATTGTATTGAGCCATGCAGATAAAGTGGTGTCAAAGTGTGCTAATTCTGCAATGCAGATGCCCGCTTGAAGTCTTGGGTGATGCAAGTTGTAGTCCAAAACAAGAGGCATTCCAGAGGTTCCACCATTCCCAGCCTATTACAAATGCAACTCACCCTGGAATTTAAATGAACTCCTTGTCTTTATTTCATTTGCATAAATAATGCGCGATTTCAAGGTTTAGGACCTCAGTCCAACAGAAGTTGAAGCCAATGGAGCAACTTGGGCTGGGTCCATACTGCCATACAATGCAATGCAGTTCAGGCTGCATGATATGGGTCTACAGTGACCATATAACGCAGTTCCAAACTGCATTATTCTGACTCATCCCTGCTAGACAGGGGTCTGTGTTACCATACTTTATGCAAAAGAAGGGAAAGCAGTTCCTTGAGACGAAGCTTCACTCACCCGAAATGGAATTGGGATTCCAACATGTGCTTAAAACATTGCAGCATCAAAAAGGGCGGAAAAAGTGCCCAGTTTTTGAGGTGAACCACCTCAAGCATATAGTCTACTCACTACAATATTTTTCCCAACAAAAATAAAACTCCACACTATTAATTTTGAGTTAAAGAAGGAAAATAATAATATTTCAACAAACCCTGTGAGCAGCATTGCCAAAGGCAATGTTATCCATCTGTCTAGCTCAGGCATGGGCTAATTTGGGCCGTTCCTCCAGGTGTTTTGGACTTCAACTCCCACAATTCCTGGCCTCAGGACCCTTCCTTTTCCCCCTCAGCCGCTTAAGCGGCTGAGGGGGAAAAGGAAGGGTCCTGAGGCCAGGAATTGTGGGAGTTGAAGTCCAAAACACCTGGAACGACGGCCCAAATTGGCCCATGCCTGGTCAAGCTCCATGCTACTAAAACACAACTTTTAAATAGATTTAGCATATATCCTTTTGCTTGATGCTCATGCTTGTAATTATTTCCAATTACTATTTTTTGGCCAAAGGAAATTCAGTTCCCTGCCTGCCTGCCTTATGCAAAGAATGACACTAATACAGGTTGAATATCCCCTTATCCAAAATGCAGAAGTACTCCAAAATTCAAGGTATTATTATGTTTGTTATGTTAAGATCTCTTTGCTTTCTTGGTGGTTTCGTGTCTGCAAGCCTTGTTTGTTCCATGCACACAACTATTTAAAATATTGTGCATACAATTATCTCCAGTCTCTGTGCATAATAAGGTGCCTATGAAACGTAAATGAACGTCGGTGTAGAATTGGGTCTCATCTCATGATGCATATGCAATTCCAAATTCTGAATCCAAATCCAAATTAAGGAACACTTCTGGACCAAAGCAGAGGTCCAGGCTAACACAGCGGGTAAACCGCCAGCTATAGAAGATCCTGAAGGTTGGCAGTTCAAGCCCAGGTCGGGGTGAGCTTCCCCCGTCATCCCAGCTTCTGCTCACCTAGTAAAGTTAAAGGTTCCCCCTGACATTAAGTCTAGTTTTGTCCGACTCTGGGAAGTGGTGCTCATCTCCATTTCGAAGCCGAAGAATCAGCATTGTCCGTAGGCGCCTCCAAGATCATGTGGCCAGCTTATGAAGAGTGGCTTAAAGAGCTGGGCATGTTTAGCCTGAAGAAGAAAAGGCTGAGAGGAGACATGATAGTCATGTATAAATATGTGAGAGGAAGTCACAGGGAGGAGGGAGCAAGCTTGTTTTCTGCTTCCCTGGAGACTAGGACGCAATGGAACAATGGCTTCAAACTACAAGAAAGGAGATTCCATCTGAACATGAGGAAAAACTTCCTGACTGTGAGAGCTGTTCAGCAGTGGAACTCTCTGCCCCGGAGAGCGGTGGAGGCTCATTCTTTGGAGGCTTTTAAACAGAGGCTGGATGGCCATCTGTCAGGGGTGCTTTGAATGCAATATTCCTGCTTCTTGGCAGAATGGGGTTGGACTGGATGGCCCGTGAGGTCTCTTCCAACTCTATGATTCTATGACTGCATGGAATGCCATTACCTTCCCACAGAAGCGGCACCTATTAATCTACTCACATTTGCATGTTTTCAAACTGCTAGGTTGGCAGAAGATGGGTTTATAATGGGAGCTCACTCTGCTCCCAGATTTGAACCACTGATCTTTTGGTCAGAAAGTTCAGCAGCTCAGCGGTTTAACCTGCTGCGCCACCAGGGGACCACTCACCTTGCAGTTTGTAAACAATAATATAAGTAGATAAATAGGTACCGCTTTTGGCAGAGAGGTAAAAGGTGCCCTGAAAAACATGCCGGCAAAAATCTGATCATAGAATCAAAGAGTTGGAAGAGACCTTATGGGCCATCCAGTCTAACCCCCTGCCAAGAAGCAGGAATGTTGCATTCAAATCACCCCTGACAGATGGCCATCCAGCCTCTGTTTAAAAGCCTCCAAAGAAGGAGCCTCCACCACACTCCGAGGCAGAGAGTTCCACTGCTGAACGGCTCTCACACTCAGGAAGTTCTTCCTAATGTTCAGATGGTAAGGTGTCCATTGATGACAGGCTCCTTGGCATGGAAAAGTGAAACAACAGCATCTCCTCATGGCTGAGTTGCACACAGCCGGATGCCGGGGATGAAAAGAGGGAAGCCTTGCCTCTGTTTATGTACTGTCTGCCTTTGTTAGTTGTATAACAGCATTGAATGTTTGCCATATATGTACCTGTAATCCATCCTGAGAATATAAGAGCTGAATATAAATAAAGCATCATATTATTATTATTATTATTATTATTATTATTATTATTATTATTATTATTATTATTATGGATAAGGGATACCTGACCCATATGAATGCTAGACCGGAGTCAACTGTATTCTCTTTGGGGCCAAAAATAATAAATTAGGTAAGCATTAGCTTGTGCTCACAGATAAATGTTACTGATAGTGCAGAAAAGATAACGAGATAGGTTTAAAGTGCACAACGTAATTGAAAGCACCCAATGGTTTTAACAAACTGCTCCTCTCAATGGGTTCAATCTCAGTCATTTTCAGCAAAGGTTTTTAAGGTCAATGCAGGGGGTTTGAGACTCCGGATGTGTTTTAAGGTTTTGAAATACAGGCTCGGGCATGGATTTCACTGCTGAAGCTTTCCTCCCGCACTTGAACTCATGTTTCCATAGTCACATATCGAAAGGTGAAAGTGGCAGCCCTAATAGAATTAACATGGTGAAGTATATACTCGTATGTGTATATATGTCCATCAGTCAACTCAACCTTATTTTCACTTCATTCATTTGGCCTGGCGACAAGGCACAGCTCAATGGCTCGGCCTCTCGAAAGTCAGGCTCAATCTCTGGAATTTCCTGGCAGAATTGCAAAAGACTTTTGTCCAAAACCCTAGAGACAATGACCAGACCCATAGATGATACTGAGTGAGATGGAACAAGGATACGATTCAGACAAAGGCTGCTTCCTGTATTCCTTTTTGGTCATTTCCTCCTGGAAGTTAGATCTCGCTTGGCAGCCACACCTCTCGTTCATTTTGCTACATAACTTTTGCATACTTTTGAACCATAATGGACACTTCCAGACTTAACGAATGGGACCTCCCTCATTATTCCCTCACACCAAGAAGAGGGAAAAAACATTTTGCCCTAAAAAGTCAAAGGACCAAATATCGTAGTCCACCACATTAGCCGAGCATCCTTGTCTGATGTGTATAAACACATCTCCATTCAAGGATCTTGCTTTAAAATAATACTGCTTTATAAGAAGAAGACAAAGCTTGCATTCATCACTCATTGTTAATGGTCGTGTGGTGGAAGTGTCCCGTTTTCTATGTGTACTATGTGTAAGTGGCATTTCAGCTATTAAACAGAGAACGTTGAAAATGTTCTTTTTCAGAACCAAGGTCCGTCGTCATCGTCGTCCTCTTCCTTTTCCTTCTCGTTTAGGTACAGAAGGGCAATTTTCTTCTCATCAGAAATCACCGATCTTTGGTCAATCATCCTTTGCAGCTGAACTGTCTGATCAAACGTCAGCCCCTCTGCTCCACGTTCGTTTTCAGCCTCCTTTTGCCCGCTTTCTGGCAGACGGGCCTCTGCTCCTTTCTTGCTTGGCACAACAATGGTCGCTGCTGGACTTCTACCGGCCATGTTGGTGACATCCATCTGAAAAGTAAAAGACGTTTCCTTAGGTCCGATCTTTATATGCCCAGCAGACTGGCTGCTTTCTGAGGGCCCGTCAGTTGGAGAAAGGTCAGTAGCACTGAAACGCAGTGTTTCAGAAACAGGGCCGTGGAATTGGATCGGCCTTGCAGAGGCTTCATCGGAGCTCTGCTGGAGGTGCCGCGTCATTTGGCTCATTTCCGTGGGACCCCCTTCTTCCATGTCTTCTCCTAAAGAACTGAAACCAGAGGATTCTGAACCTTGCCACACAATGTGCTCGACGCCATGAATTTCTTTTGGCCCTAATTTAATGTGCTTTACCGATCCTTCAGAGGGAAAGATCTGTCCCTGCTCATTAAGCTTCAAGTGCTGCTCGGAAACGGGCCCCGTAAAAACTATTTGCTCTGTTACAAATTCCTTCGGGCTTAACGTGATGTGCCGGACAACTGTGTTTGTATTCTGCACCGGCTCCTTGCTGTCTGGACCCAGTTCAAGTGTTTTGTGGAGAGAGTCTTCATAACCAGTTTGGTCTGCTAAGCGGGTCTCTCTCTGTCCTATTCTAATGTTCTTCGCTGACTCTTCAACCTGAGCGTGGGCTCCAAAAGGGCTAAGCTCTGTGAACCCAGGAAGGACTCCTTCATATATCACCTGCTCAGCAAGTGCTTCTTTTGGCTCTATCCGAATGTGCCTCACGGTTCTGCTGGAGTCTTCTGGCCCTTTCCTTTGCCAAAGGGTTTCACTGCTCTGATTCGATGACAAGTCTGAGGCTGTGCCCTCAAAGACAGCCTCTTCAACCATCTGCTTTGAACCCAAGGTGATGGATTTAGAGGACCTGATATCAGTTGAAATTTGCGTCTGAGCAGGACCTCCGGAATCACTCACTTCCACCGTTTTATGAACAGGTCCTCTATAAATAATTTTTTCTGTGGTTTGCATTTCTTTAGGGCCATGTCTGAATTCCCTCACGGATTGACCAACGCTTGGTGATGCTTCTGCCTCAAAGTCACTCCTATCAAACTCCAGGCTGTCAGAAACAGGACTTTCATAGCAGACCTGCTCAGTCCTGTGAATTTCTGTTGGACTCACTACAACGTGCTGTACCCGCCTGTTAATATCGAATGATCTTTGGGAAGGATGTGGTTCCTCTCTGCTCTCAGTCACCACGCTTGTGTAGACGGGGTCGTGATGGATAACTTGTTCATTGGAAAGATGCTGCAAGCCATCGCGGCTACTCAGTTTGGCTGAGCTAGAAACCTCTTCTAGAGTCCAAGGTGTAGAAGAAACATGTGTATCAATGTTCTTACTATCAGCATTGCTACTTCCAAAGCCTTGTTTCCGGTATATGTCAAAATCGCCTTCAGTTGGTGATGGCAACCTGACTTCCTCAGCCATACCTTTCCCGAGCAATTCCGAACTAATCTGGTCAGGATCGAGTGTCTGGGACAAACTGACTTCTGCAAAGATGGTAACCAACCCTCCTTTTTTGGTGTTTTCCACTTTTTTAATGTCCACTTCCAGGCTGCTGGAATCACCATGGCTCTCTTTCGTCAATACAGAGAGTTCCTGTTTGATGCTTTCTGGAAGAGTGTTGTCAAGCTTTTCCAGCGCTTCTTTCAACTGGTGCTTGGGGTCCTTTGACTCCTGAGAAAAAAGACTTTTTATCGATTCCTGAAACTCATGTGGGATTTTGATCTCCTTCTCAATGACAAAGGATTCGGCATGGGCCACCTGCTCCTTGGGCGCTTCGTCCTTTGAAATAAAGGCGCCTGAATCTTCCCCGGTCACCTGGTAGACCGTTTCTGGTGAGCCCGGGCTCTCGCTTTTCTTGGTTTGAGACCCCTGAAGAAATTCGTCTTGCCACGAATACTTTACTGTTGATTCTTCTTCAATATGGATCTGGCCATAGATGGGGTGCTCCTCTTCCACGTGATCCAAGGGATGGTCATCTGGAATAGAAACAAAGTACTTTTCTTCATCCACTATATCATCCCCTTCGGCTACTTCTTCCACATGGGACACAAAGATACCGGGTTGCTTCTCCTTCACATCCCTGTCAGCCTCTGCACTTTTTCTCTCTTTGTAACCATAGTATGGGTGTTCCACCATACCAGGGAACGTATCCTCAGCTTCTTCCACTTCGAATGGTGTGGAAAACTCCACTCGCTCCTCAGCTGAAGACCCGAGCGGCTCCTCAACAATCTCAATACGAACAGCCCTTTTCGGTTTGCCTTCCATTCCCTTCGCCCCGGCGTCAATGATGTCTTCTTCGACCTCTTTGGATGAAGCTCCCTTACTACCTTCTAGGACTTTTTTAGCATCTTGCTTTAAGAAACTGACCAAATCAAAATCTTCAGAAACATCCAGGTCACGTGGAAGTGCTGCCTGGACATTGATTTCAGTCTTTAATTTTCCAGCCTCAAAGACTTCTTTCTTCTCAAAGGAGGCGGCTTTGGTCGCAGGGGAGGGTGGTCCTGCTTCGGAAGGCTTTTGCACAAAACCTTTCAGGATGTCAGAAACAATGCTTTCGGCTATACTTTCTGTAAGCAACGTATCCATTTGGGAGCCACTGTCTTCACCTTCTCTGGTGACCTTCACTGTGGCTTCTCCCTTCTGATGGTCTTCAGAAGATGCTCTATGTTCCACCTTATTGGTCTTTGCTGTTTGGAAATGAGTCTGCTCATCCAAATGAGTGGGGATCTCAACGGCTTTTTTGCTTTGCGTCACCACGCTCACATTCCTGCCTCTTTGGAACATATGACTTTCCTCCATCTCTGTATCTGCTGGAACGTTTTTTCCGGACGAGTCTTTTTTCATCTGGTCTTGCCACGTGACATCCTTGGGTGTTTGATCCGCCACAAACCTGTCATTTGCTCTGTTGTATTTAATGGCAAATTCGTCCGCTATCTGCTCCTTCTCACCCCGCTTGATTTCCGTCTTCCATTCAAAGTTAGCCTTCCTTTCGATTTTGGCTGGTTTCTCTCTCAGCCTCTCGATATTAGAAGCTGCTCTTTCTTTGGCGGATACTTCATTTTTCTCACCACTTTCGAGCAAAACTATCCTTCCCTGTTCCGTCGGCTTGCGGTCTTTGATCTCATTGTTCACTGCAGTATGTGTTCTGTCTATAGTTTCCTCATATTTAGCTTCTTTTGAACTGGCGCTTAGGCTGCGAGGTGGAAATGTAGAAACTTTAACTCTGGTTTTCATGTCGTCCGATCTATTTGGGAATGATGTTGGACCTTTCTGGACACTTGTTGATTCCTTTGCAAAAGTCACTGTCTTTCCAGCTTCAGTGCCTTTTCTTTCAGGAGGAAATCCTCGTCGCGTTTCACTTGCTCGGCTAGTAAGAAAAGACGGAGCAACGGCTATGGTGTCTCTCTTCTCCTTCACAGTCCTGTCTCTTTTGATTGTGGATGAAGGGCGATGCTGTGGCCCGAAGGCATCTCTTGCAAAAGTCTTCCCAGAAGCTTGATTGGTTTTTGTTTGAGATGAATAAATGGCAGAGCTGCAAATACTTCTCATGGGAGATTTATGCCTTGCGTCAACATCCCGGATTGCGGGGAAAGTCCTCTTCCCTTTCCTCTGCTCGTAAGCTGAACGGCGGTCGCTGAATTCATAAAGCATGTTCCGGACACCTGCCAATAGACAAATCAAATCAAAAGCATGACAATGCAATATCCTTAAGTGATGTCCAAACACAGCAGCACAAGGGGTTGCAACCTAACTGTAGCAATAATAACAATGCTTCTGTGAAACACTGCCTCTGTTTTGCTATCCAAAGACATTCAGTCCTGCCTGTCCTCCCAGAAACATATGACAAATGCAAATGGCTATAAAGCAGGCATGGGGAAACTTTGGTCCTCTCTCCATGTGTTTAGAACTACAACTCACACAACCCCTACCAGCTATTAGGAATTGTGGGAGTTGTAGAATCATAGAAACATACAGTTGGAAGAGACCTCATGGGCCATCCAGTCCAACCCCCTGCCAAGAAGCAGGAATATTGCATTCAAAGCACCCCTGACAGACGGCCATCCAGCCTCTGTTTAAGAGCCTCCAAAGAAGAAGCCTCCACCACACTCCGGGGCTGAGAGTTCCACTGCTGAACAGCTCTCACAGTCAGTTCTTCCTAATGTTCAGATGGAATCTCCTTTCTTGTAGTTTGAAGCCATTGTTCCATTGCGTCCTAGTCTCCAGGGAAGCAGAAAACAAGCTTGCTCCTCCTCTCAGCCTTCTCTTCTTCAGGCTAAACATGCCCAGCTCTTTAAGCTGCTCCTCATAGGGCTTGTTCTCCAGACCCTTGATCATTTTAGTCGCCCTCCTCTGGACACATTCCAGCTTGTCAATATCTCTATTCAACTGTGGTGCCCAGAATTGGACACAATATTCCAGGTGTGGTCTAACCAAAGCGAGAATAGAGGGATAGCATGACTTCCCTAGATCTAGACACTATGCTCCTATTGATGCAGGCCAAAATCCCATTGGCTTTTTTTGCCGCCACATCACATTGTTGGCTCATGTTTAACTTGTTGTCCACGAGGACTCCAAGATCTTTTTCACATGTACTGCTCTCAAGCCAGGCGTCCCCCATTCTGTATCTTTGCATTTTGTTTTTCCTGCCAAAGTGGAGTATCTTGCATTTGTCACTGTTGAACTTCATTTTGTTAGTTTTGGCCCATCTCTCTAATCTGTCAAGATCGTTTTGAATCCTGCTCCTGTCCTCTGGAGTGTTGGCTATCCCTCCCAATTTGGTGTCATTTGCAAACTTGATGATCCTGCCTTCTAGCCCTTCATCTAAGTCATTAATAAAGATGTTGAACAGGACCGGGCCCAGGACGGAACCCTGCGGCACTCCACTCGTCACTTCTTTCCAAGATGAAGAGGAAGCATTGGTGAGCACCCTCTGGTTCGTCCATTTAACCAATTACAGATCCACCTCACCGTAGTTTTGCCTAGCCCACATTGGACTAATTTCCTTGCCAGAAGGTCATGGGGGACCTTGTCGAAGGCCTTACTGAAATCCAGGTACGCTACATCCACGACATTCCCCGCATCTACCCAGCTTGTAACTCTGGGTTGTAGTCCAAAACACCTGGAGGGAGTACCGAAGTTTGCCCATGCCTGCTATATAATCTCATCAGAGTCTTCCAAGCGCCTTGTCTTATTCAATGAACAAATAATATCGCTTAGCAATTCAAACCTTGTGGCAATTTCCTTCCGTGTGTTTCGTCCCACATCAGAATCCACTGGCTGCTTTCTCCTTCAAGCAAAGCCCTGCAACAGAAAAAAACAAAAATCCACATGTTTACGGAACCAAACAAGACCAAACAACCCAGAGCATTTTTATGGGCAAGGAGCCACACAAGGGTGGTTTTTTTAAAACTCACAAGAAGACCAACGTTGTGGCCTCAGTTTCCCTTCTCTTTAACATTTAACTTCAACTTCCCAGGATTTTACACCTCTCTCCCTTTTTCAGAGCGAAATGTTATACATGGGAACAGTATGTGTGAAAAAGATCTTGGAGTCCTCGTGGACAGCAAGTTAAACATGAGCCAACAATGTGATGCGGCGGCGAAAAAAGCCAATGGGATTTTGGCCTGCATCAATAGGAGCATAGTGTCTAGATCTAAGGAAGTAATGCTACCCCTCTATTCCGCTTTGGTTACACCACACCTGGAATATTGTGTCCAATTCTGGGCACCACAATTGAAGAGCGATATTAACAAACTGGAATGTGTCCAGAGGAGGGCGACAAATAATCAAGGGTCTAGAGAACAAGCCCTATGAAGAACGGCTTAAAGAGCTGGGCATGTTTAGCCTGAAGAAGAGACGGCTGAGAGGAGACATGATAGCCATGTATAAATATGTGAGAGGAAGTCACAGGGAGGAGGGAGAAAGCTTGTTTTCTGCTTCCCTGGAGACTAGGACACAATGGAACAATGGCTTCAAACTACAAGAAAGGAGATTCCATCTGAACATTAGGAAGAACTTCCTGACAGTGAGGGCTGTTCAGCAGTGGAACTCTCTGTCCCAGAGTCTGGTGGAGGCTCCTTCTTTGGAGGCTTTTAAACAGAGGCTGGATGGCCATCTGTCAGGGGTGCTTTGAATGCAATTTTCCTGATTCTTGGCAGAATGGGGTTGGACTGGATGGCCCATGAGGTCTCTTCCAACTCTATGATTCTATGATTCTATGATTATACGGCATCTGATGATTTCCTTTGGGAGAGATAAAGCGGGATATCAATAAATATAATAATAGAATAATATGAAATAATAATAACATATTTTACATTGAATGCTAATGCTTTTATGTTAAGCTACTTTGAGTCTCCTTTGGGAGAGATAAAGCAGAGAATAATAATAATAACAACAACAACAGCAATAACAAAAATATATTATAATATAACAATATACTTTTTTTCATGTCAGGAGTCATTTGAGAAACTGCAAGTCGCTTCTGTTGTGAGAGAATTGGCCATCTGCAAGGACTTTGCCCGGGACATGCTTGGATGCTTAATGTGTTACCATCCTGTGGGAGGCCTCTCTCAGATCCCCGCATGGGAAGCTGGAGCTGACAGACTTGGGCCATTAGGCTGTTAGGAATTGTGGGAGTTGTAGCCCAAAACACCTGGAGGGAGGGCCCAAATTTGCCCATGCCTGGACTCTACTGTAAAGGACTCCCTTGTTGTAGTTGCTATTATCAGGACACTACAGTTGTTGTTTCTCTTGCTGCAAAAGAGAAGTGGGAAAGTCTATTTTAAAAAGGGCCCCAGCGGCGAATCTGATATAGAATTACAAAACTATAAATCATCTCCAAAGCAGGAGCCCCCGGTGGCGCAGTGGGTTAAACCCCTGTGCCGGCAGGATTGAAGACCGACAGGCTGCAGTTTCGAATCTGGGGAGAGTGCGGATGAGCTCCCTCTATCAGCTCCAGCTCCTAATGTGGGGACATGAGAGAATCCTCATACAAGGATGGCAAAACATCAAAACATCTGGGCGTCCCCTGAGCAACGTCCTTGCAGACGGCCAATTCTCTCACACCAGAAGTGACTTGAAGTTTCTTAAGTCGCTCCTGACACGACAAAAAAAAATATCTCCAAAGCAACAAGATGAAGGCCTGGCAACAACTTGAAAACTATCACAATCCAGGAAGGTTCCAAGAGCAGATATTAGATCCAAAGTTCATTAAAGACAACAAGTAATTTAAGCTGTTTCATTCCTGAGACTTGCTTGAAACACTTTCAGTTTTGCACTGACATCTGTTTTGAGCAGATAATACACAACGGTGCCTTAAGATCCAAAACGGCTCTAACTGGAGGAGTCCGATAATTGGGGCTTCAAGCTCCTGGAAAGCCACTGGTAATGCTCTGACAGTGAGGCAACGAGGGCTTGAGCTGCCATTGCATTCAATCCAACGACTTCTTCCAGTTGCCACAATGCGGGATGGTAGCCCAGGATTTTGTCATTTGGGAGTTGGAGTTGCTGGGATTTATGGTTCACTTAAATTCTGACCTCCACCAAAAATGGAATTGAACCAAACTTGGCACACAGAACTCCCATGAACAACAGAAAATACTGGAAGGGTTTGGTGGCCACTGACCTTGAGTTTGGGAGTTGTGGTTATAGTTCACCTACATCCACAAAGTACTGTGGACTCAAACCATGATGGATCTGGACCAAACTTGGCACGAATACTCAATATGCCCATACTGTGGTGACCCTTCTGACACTCCCATCGTGACCCTCCCAGGGGTCTTGACCCCCAGGTTGAGAAACACTGTTTTAGATAATATTTATCATTTCTACCAGGGATCTACTGTACAATGGGAGTAATAAAAACAGAACAAATATCCTTATAGAAGTGACATTGTAAAAGGACATCATGTCTGGCAGTTCCCACACTCTCCCTACACTCATGTTAGGAGATACCTGTAAAGCAACTGATGGTAACACATTGAAGCTGGCCAGGTTGAAGAATCTCCTGGAGTGAGCAACACCATGCTGTTTGTAATTTCTTCACTTCACTTTATTTCTTAATTAGTCATTCTCCACCAAGGTGGTCCGAGCGACTTACAATTTAAAATAGCATTTACACAATATAAAAACATTCAACATACAAACATTCAACAGTGACTATTTGGCAAATTAGATCTGATTACTTACATGCACAACCAAACAGCCAAGTCTTGAGTGCCTTTACAAAAGGTCACAACTCCGACATTGCTCTAACATATGAAGGCAATGAGTTCCACAGAATTGGAGCATAGGTCGAAAAGCTCTACGCCTTGTAGCTTCCAGGTGTACCTCCCTAGGACCCGGTATGTATAGGAGATTTTCCTGGGTGGATCGAGGTGACCACTGATGGAAAAGGAATGAGGCGGTCCCTAAGATATAAAGGTCCTTGGCCATTTTGAGCTCTAAATGTCAGAATCAGTATCTTGTAAGAGATCCGATGTTCTATTGGTAGCCAATGCAGTTGTTGCAGAATCGGTGTAATATGGGATCTTATAGATGATCCCGCTAGCAGCCTGGCCTCTGCATTTTGGACCATCCGAATCTTCTGGGTTGTTGACTTCGGAAGGCCGGCATATAAGGCATTGCAATAGTCCAACCTAGTGGTGACTGTTGCGTGGATTACCGTTGCCAATGCTTCTACCCAAAGGTAGGATGCCAATTTCCTTGCCTGGCGAAGATGAAAAAAGGCCTGCTTACTTATGGCAGTGATCTGGGCCTCCATTGTCAGCAATGAGTCCAACACAACCCCAAGGCTTTTAACAGTGGCAGACGGAACCAGAGCTTCCCCATCGAAATCAGGCAGAGACTGGATTAATTCTGGCGGCTGGCCAGGCCAGAGTATCTCAGTTTTTGCAGGATTCACTTTTAGTCTGCTCACTCGTAGCCAACTCATCACTGCTTCCAAACACAGCTTAAAGTTCTCAGGAATCGCGGTTGTCCCAGGTTCGAGACGCAAGGGTAGCTGGGTATCATCTGCATACTGGTAGCACTCTATGCCAAAGCTCCGCACCAGTCCAGCAAGTGGTCAGACATAGATGTTAAATAACAGGGGCGAGAGGATAGCACCCTGGGGAACTCCACAACAAAGGCAGGAGCTCTCAGAGCTTTGGCCTAACCACCCTATCCTCTGTCTCCGGGTCTCTGCCATTTCCCCCAGATGCTCTTCTTGCAGCAACACATCCCAGATGCAGTGTCTGGGTTCCCCATTTGGACTGTATCCTTCTTGCACTCTTATTTCTGGCCGCTGGTAACAGCCTGGGAAACATTTGCATGTTGCCACCTTGGATGCCCAACCTGGAAAGGTGTGCCATGGATGTGAATGCCAACCTGCAGCCAAGGGGATTCCTCCTGAGTAAATATATGCATAGAATTCCTCTGTGCTTGGTGCACAAGGTAGGAAAAAAATGTCAATGGCTAAGAACAGCACCTGGCACCACTTGTGCTCCTTTCGCTTTGGGTTCCACTCCCGCTCTCAGGTCTGTCCATGGCTAGGACATGGTTTGCAGCACCTCGGCCCAATTAGCACCTTTCCACCAAATATTTCCCCTCCTTGGCCTCAACTCCAAACATCAGGTAACTGAACGATCATTCCCTTGCTCCAAAGGATTCTGGGGACGTTTGTTCTATTATGGGAAGATAGACACAGATGTTCCAAACAATAGTTTGCATTAGACTCCTGTTTCCAAGATCCTTAGCAGTTACGATGAAAATGGTGAGCAGTCTGCAGCATCTTCTCCACGTGCCTTACATAATATCTGCTATTTAAATTTCAACTAATGTTCTCCCTTTTTTCTGTTTCAATATTGCCAAATAAGCCAATTTTCCACAACTTGACTTTTCAGTCCCTTGGTCCCTTTGGAGACTCCTCCTCTAAATGCATAAAAAAGCCCAGACAGCAGATCTGCCATGACTAAACTTGGGATAAAGCACACCATACAACTAGACCCTGAAGTCCATCCTTGCCCTCTTTTATCCTTTTCACTTTTTTAGGAAGAGTAAAGATAGAAAGTCTCTATCTTTCCAAAAGAAAATTCACTCTGGAAAATTCCACTGCAAAGGAGATTTGCACAATCTTCCCTAACTCTTGTTGGTGGAAAAAGTCCCCGAAAGCGTTAAATGGAAAGCAGGAATGCGGGAAGTTTGACTAAAGGATTCTTGGCTGCTGATAAAACAACAGTTTGCTTAGTTGCTGGAGCAACGCATGAAGTCACTCCAAATAATGTCCAAGCAAGGCACTGTATAAGGCAAAGGCCAGCCGC